TGTACTTGTCGAATAATAATAAAGTACGAATCAAGCGGAATACAACAAAACTCTGCCTCGCGTGACCGCTACAGTCCGTCGGTACTACAGCGAGTGTTCAGTAGCAATCGTAACGAACGCGCGAGGCAGAGTTTACTTTAATTGTTGTTTTCTTTAAAAGTAGCAGAAAGTAGCAATTAATTCTTTTTGCTTCTGAAGGAAAAAAGTTCAGCCTTTCATGTGGTACTGATTATGCCACGGGACTCACCTTTAAAAACTTATGTAAAGTTTAAATTTTAATTCGCTGTACTTCCTTTTATTCAAATGTTAGTATTGAACAAGTTGTTAATATTTTTACTTGCTTTATGCACTGAATACAATCTATACTAATATAGCAAGCTTTATGATTCATTGGAATTTCATCTTTCTGAGGAAAGTTTTTCAGAATCGTACATTGAAGTTAGGTGTGATATCAAGCATTTTGCTTCAACGAATTTCAACTGACTTTGAATGCGCACCAGAGCTAAACGAGAGCAAATATAAAAAAACGGATTGCACTACATTAAACAGAAATTTGTTCTCTATCCATGTACTTAAACAGTTTTTCCATTTTTCGAATTCATGAAAATCGATTTTTGATCGCCGAGCGCCGTTTTGTCCCACTGTGCGCCCGCCCACGCTTCCAGCCCCGGGATCGACTTCTGGCTGCAGCGTTAATTGTCTTTGTTATCTAGTAAGGAGTGTTTTTAGATACAAATTTTCGCTGCACCTTAACATTCCTGATTTTCGTAGCCATCTCACCGTCTATTATGGCATTTCTAACGAAATTCGCTCCTTTCACGCACTATTGTAAATAAATAACCTGTTATTTGTTGATATCAGCTGACGAAATTATGTAATTTTATTTTAATGTTATTATTTTAAAAAAATCTCTCATCCGGTGTCTTATTTTTAATGACGTAGTTATAAATGTTATAAAGAAATAATTTTTATTACTTCTTTTCTATGCACAAGGCCTGAGATATGTAATTGTATGTGACCTAATTGTAACAAATAAGAAAAAGTTGGGATAAATACATATATGACTTCAGTCAGAAAATGTTTTTTATCGCTTTTTGCGATCAAACGAAGATTCCACAGCAAGATTTAGAATTTATGAAAGCGTTGCATAAATATAAAAAAGCAGATGTAAATATTAGTCATGGCACATTACTGAAATTCTGTAATCGTTTATGGTACCTTACATCAGAAGCCGGCGCGTTTTCATTTTTTGATAAAGATACTCCAAATGATAGCAAAATACGAATGGTAGATGCGTTAATATAATAGATATGTTTGCAAATGAAGAACGTAAAAAATTACTAAAATATGCTGAACTGTTTGATGTTTTCATTATATTATTTTAACGTATACCTATGTTTTGTGTTTCTTTTGTTAAAACCGTACTCACGACAAAGGCTAACTACCGAAGAAAGGATTTTTAATTATAGATTATCAAGAGCTAGACGGTGTGTGGAATCTGCCTTTGGTATTCTGGTAGCCAAGTGGAGGTGTTTGAAAAGTGAACTTCAAATCGACCCAGATGAAGTGGACATCATAGTTTAATGCGCTTGTTTGTTGCATAATGAAATTATTGATAAGGAAGGTTTTACTCCCCTTGATATTTTTGATATGGACTCTGATCCATTACAAAATGTGCCAGTTACACGGGGGCATAATTATGAATGTAATCATTGTGTTGACAACACTTGGTGTAATTTTTTTACTTATTTGAAGTTTTTTATGGGGATCTAGATTTACCGCGACGCGGTTCTCAATCTTATTATACAGTGGGTGTAAAAAGTATTTGTAAACCGATCAATTTCCAAAAATAACTATGTAAAATTGTAATTTATTAACTTATTTTTGATAAACAATGACCCAAAAAACTTTTGTGTGAAATTGTAGTTTTTTAACTTCTTTTTCTCGGTCCCACCCCCGAAAGGGGGGAGAGGATGAGGTTGAGTGCCTACCGGGCGCGTCCCCGGGTGGCGGATAGGGGAACGGCCAGGCATGCCGAAGTCAGACCCGTACCGAGGCGCGGATCTCAACCCGCGATCGGCGTAAAACCCGGCCCAGGGGAATCAAGGCCCCGCCGCGGACCAACTCCCCAAGCCAAGGTGTAAGCTATCGTACCGAGAGCTGGATGGCACCGAGGTGATGGTGTCGTGAACGTTGCTCTTGGGGCACCAGGCGAAACCCCATTGTATTTTAGCCTTACCCCCGCAAGCAGGCTCTGCGGGGGCGGACAGAATATTTCCTGCCTTCTTGCGGGATTTGTATAGAACCACAAAGTTTTTCGTTTAGAACTCAACGCGAAGGGACCCCGACAGGGGGACCTTCGACTACGCTCGGTGTGGTTGAGGCGGACCACTGTGTCGGAGAGGTACTTACCGAGCTGACGCAAGGGCTGTCGATGGCCACACCACAATCGTCTGTGGAGACGGAGAGTCCGGCTCCGACTGGGACCACTGAATCTACAGACATCAAATGTACGTGGAAGAAGAAGAGTGGAGCCGCGTTAGAGGAAGGCGCGCAAAGCCAAATTGGCAGAGCGTTTGCCGGCCTCTGAGGCGGCTAAATCGTGGGAAAAGAGCGGGGGTCAAATGGCCGGTAACCGTGACCCCCTATACCCCCCGACGCGTCAACGAGCGAGGATCGGCATGGCCGGCGCATTGCAGTGAAGCAAACAGATATATCCCTCATCCAAGAACCTTGGGTGTACAAGGGGTTGATCAGAGGGATATCTACCAAGCATGGAGTGTTAATAAGCACCCCCTCGCGGATCGAACCAGGACCTCGGGCCTGCATCTACGTAAACTATAGTCTCGGCGCCCTAAGACTGAATAAGAACTGCAGTAGGGATATAGTGTGCGTGCTCAGTGGTGTGCTCAGCCTACCTCTCCTATGACTCTGAGGAACCACCACCAACCAGGGAACTCAGAGAGTTAATCGCTTACCGTAAGGAAAAAAGACTGGACCTAGTGATAGGGTGCGATGCGAACTCGCACCACATAATATGGGGGAGTTCTAACATCAACAACAGAAGGAGAGACCTCTTAGAGTACATCTCGTCCACCGACTTGGAAATACTAAATAAGGGATTCAAGCCTACGTTCGCCACCTCCAGCAGGAAAGAGGTGATTGATCTCACACTGGGAACACGAGTGGTTGCACAGTGGATAAGGGAGTGGCGAGTGGACGATGATAACACACTATCGGACCACCGTCGTATATCCTTTAAATTAGCGATAGAGCCAACCCCAATTAGGGTAGCAGTGTACGGGAACCCCAGGGCCACAGACTGGAGCTCTTTTAAAGAAGAACTAAGTCGGAGGCTAGGGTGTCTGAGAGACCGCCGCGGGACCATAGGGTTCAGTGATGTAATCCTATGAAGTCTCTTGCCCGCGTAAAAGTCGTAAGCAGGACAAAAAAAGTAGCTTGGTGGAACTCAGAGCTAACCGCCCTCCATTCCAAATCTCGCAAGCTGCTAAATAAGGCCCTGAAAACTATGGGCGAGTCTGACTGGGCGGCTTATTGGGCCTTGCAGAAGACCTATAAGAAGCGCATCAGGGAGTCCAAGACCAGGGCCTGGAGAAGCTTCTGCGGGGAAATGGACAGCCTACCCTTGGCTGCCAGGCTCCGAAGGGTCTTCTTCCAAGGACTCCGCACCGAGCTGGAAGGATTGCCACTCCCAGGCGGTACGACAGTTGACACCAGGGAGTCCATTCTAGGGCACCTGTTGGAGACACACTTTCCCGAGTCCAGGATTAGCGGTGGGATATGACCAAGATGGAGCGAGCCCACAGACCAGGAGACGAGGGACTGGGGCACGGTGAGGCAAAACGTCACATTTAACAGGATTAAGTGGGCCCTGGAATCGTTCGACAGATTCAAAAGTCCAGGGACTGATGGCATCTTCCCTGCCTTCTTGCAGGAGAACGGGGAGGATCTAGTCGGGCACCTGCTAAGGATCTACAGATCCTATATTGCACTGAAATACGCGCCTAAAGCCTGGAGGGAAGTCAGAGTGGTATTCATACCGAAATCGGGGAAGACCAGCTATGACACCGCCAAGGTATTTAGACCTACCAGCCTGACATTCTTAATGCTGAAGACGCTGGAGCGACTGGTTGACAGGTATATGAGGGATGGAGTGCTGACGTTAAACCCATTAAATACCCACCAGCACGCATATTGGACGGGCAGATCTACCGAAACGGCCCTTCATGACCTAGTCAGGACCATCGAGGGGTCGCTCGGCAAGAAAGAGTCCACCCTATGCGCATTTCTTGACATTGAAGGAGCCTTCGACAATACCTCCTTCGATGTAATCTGCTCACCGGCTAGACGTTTCCAAATGAACGACACCATCGTCGACTGGTTTCGCCGCATCCGACCAGTCTCAACGGGATCGAGGTCAGAGCCCTAGTCGGCAGGGGCTGCCCGCAGGGGGGCGTAATTTCCCCCCTGTGGGAGCCCTGCTGTGGCTGCTAGTGGTCGATGGGCTCCTCGTACAACTCGAAGAGCTGGGCGTGAAAGTGGTAGGTTTTGCGGACATCTGCATAGCTGTTGTCGGAAATCACCCGGGCAGGATCGCTAGTAAAATGCAGACTGCTCTGGACAAGGTAGAAAGGTGGTGCCTTGTTCAGAACTTAAGGGTTATCCCACTAAGACTGAGCTGGTGCTGTTCACAAGAAGAAGGAACCTCACACTGAGGCCTCCCACAATATACGGCGTAGAGCTCAAACTCTCCAGGGAGGTCCGATATCTCGGAGTTATCCTGGACAGTAGACTCACATGGAAAAGCCACATCACCAGACAGGCACAAAAGGCAACGACTATCTTCTGGGCCTGCAGGAGGATGTTTGGACAAACCTAGGGACTGAAACCAGAAATGGTAAAATGGCTACATAACGCCATATTAGTCCCCCAACTTTGCTACGCTTCTATTGTTTGGTGGCCCGCGCTGAGTCGAAGCACGAACAGGAAGATATTGGACAGGGTGTTCAGGTTGTCGCTGTTGGGCATCACAGGTGTACCGCATGTCACGGCGATGGCAGAGGCAAGAAATACAGCTTGTAGACTACACGTGAGTGGAAGATGGATTAGGGGCAGGCAAGGTCATGCGAGTATCCTTCAACAGGCTGAGTACCTCGTGGAGATCCTCAGCCTCGGGGGTGATCGCTGCCCAACGGCCCACGTATTCCACCACCCGTTTACAGTCCGCTACCCCAGCAGACAAGCATGGGCGGAACGCGAAGAGGAAGTACTGTCCCCGGGAGGGCTAGTCTGGTTCACAGACGGGGCCAAATCGGGGACAGGAGTGGGTGCGGTGGTATGGTGCGGAAGGCCCAGGATGGAGTTATCATTCCACCTTGGTCCGTCTACATCCGTAGCCCAAGCAGAAATGTTTGCGATCTTGGCCTGCGCCAGAGCGATCCTGGACAAGGGATACAGACGCAGGCACATTTATATATGCAGCGACAACAAAAAGCTGCGTAGACCTGTTGTCCCAGCTTGCCAGGGACAACAGGGTGAATCTCATCTGTGGCACACCGGCATCCGAGGGAACGAGAAAGCTCACGATCTAGCCAGACAAGGGACCAGAGGGACCGAGAGTGCGATCGTGTGCTCGATGGGTGTCCCAGCCGGCCATGTAAGAATACTGAATAGGCAGTGGGCAGAGGGCCGCCTTCTGGACCTCTGGAGGCATGGACCGGCAATGAGGCACACAAGGCCCATGCTAGAGCAATCTTCCAGTGCACTGGTAAGATTGGACCGCGATAGGCTCAGATTTGTCGTCGGGCTGGTCACGGGCCACTGGCACACTGGAAGGCATCTAGCTAGATTGGGACTGCGGGACAACCCCACCTGTCCTAGATGCGGAGAAGCGGATGAAACCCCGCTACACGTGATTGCTGGGTGCAGGGCACTTGAAGATTCTAGGGAAAGGATCCTAGGTGACAGGCACCTAGAAACGTTCAGGGTGACAGAGAGGGGAATCGGCGGACTCCTGTGCTGTGCACAGAAGGCCGGCCTCTCCTCCTCGACCCCTTAACGCCCGCCCGCAAAGGTCCGACTACAATGGTCCGCAGAGACTGAGTGCTCGGTATGTGCTAAAATCTATACTCAGACTCATACTCAACTTCTCTTTTTCTAATCAATGATACTTTACATATTCTCGGAAGTCTCTAAGATAGATATAGTCCAAACAACATTTACTAGTTACTATAATATGTGAAATTAACAAAAAAATGCGAAAAGTGAGTAAAAGTATAGAAGCAATAAATATTTGCGCGATTCTAATGACGAACCATTTACAGTAGAGTTTGTAACGTAAACACATTTGTTAATTAGTAATTAGTAATTAGAGAACATCAAATTTCCAAGAAAGTACTTTAAAATGGCTCTAATAAGGGAATGGAAAAAAATCCCACTTCGAATAATTAATAATTTAATTAATTTAACGCTTAGAGGAGTTGCAATAATTATAAAATGAAAAGGAAATCCCACGGAGGAAGTATTATATACTTATAAATTAATGTAAATTTCTTTTTTTTTTTTAATCAAGTTTGAAAAATTAAACAGTTGTGCGAATATTTATTGCTTCAATATTTCTATCGATTAATTGTTTTTTTTTTCTTGTTAATTTCGCAACTTACATGAATAGCTATTTTTTGTGTAATCTATCTATTCTAGAGATTTCCGAGAATATGTAGAATGTCATTGTTTATCAAAAATAAGTTAATAAATTACAATTTTACATAGTTTTTGTTGGAAATTGATCGGTGTACGAATACTTTCTACACCTACCGTAGACTTTAAATTTAATCCTAGCTCTAAGTGCACGATCCTTCGGACGAATTTTATAATATTCAATAAAGACGATCGCTGTTTTTGTTATCAAGTGGGTGTTTTTTTTTTGTACTGACTTGTTTCTTAGGTAATGGACTCTACAATCCTTATCCCAGACCAGCATTAGATGTAGTGAGATGCAAGCACTCATCCTACTACCTTATTCATTTCACTGAACACGCTCACTTTCTAAAAAATATCTCTCTGATCGTTTAACTCAAACGGTGGAAAAATTTCGATTGTTTGAATATGATAGAAACATTTGAATTTTAGGCATCAGTTACATTATACCACAATCGGCCTATAACATGTTTTCTTAATTTCACTTTTGTCACGTGTACATTTAATTGTGAACTATGAAATCTTATTACATCAGTTTTATAATAAAAATAAAAGTATGCATATTTCCCAATAAGTAATATTCAAATTCCGACAATCTTCCATGATTGCATTTGTTCCATTAGTCGGTACTTTTCAACACGGTGTAATAAGAGAAAGATGCTTTTATTATCTGAAAAGATAATGGTTGCTGAAACAAGTGTTTTCGTGAATCATTCTACTGGATATTGTATGGGAACAGAGACGTTACCTGTACAAAAGTATTTAAGTCCAACGGAATTATTCCACCAGCTGTTATCTTTGGAAATGACAGGTACTTTCGCAATACTAACTGGTACAATAATTGAGTTCTCGTCGAACCGTTATACCACTTCGATTCATATCTACAAGAACATTACGAAAATTTAGGTATAATAATTATATTGCGGATTTTATGCATTTAAGATATAAACTAATATAGCAAATACATGCTAAACATAACAAAAGGTTTATTCTCTTATACAAAATAAAATAGTAATATTAATCTAATAATTGCAGAATATATTCAGCATGTATTATTTATATCTCATAAATAACTGTATGTGCACTTATACAAAATGAAATAATATTACTATAATAATTGCAGAATCTGTATATTCAGTAAATACACTGGCCCGCAAAAAAATAGAGACACTTTTTCAAAGCATCGTAACTATGGGAGTTTTCAACCGATTGAAATGAAACTGCGTGAGTACTTTTGAAGTGTCCCCTAGACGTGTGTAAAGTTGCATTGGCGAGGGTTGATGAGAAGGGGTTAATTCACCCTCTTAAAGGGGGGCGCGTCGAAAAACATCACTTCTGAAGGTGGTAGGAGTAATGGAAAGGGTTAAAAAAACCTTTAGGGCGACTTTCTTTGATGCCCTCTACAAAATGTACCCCTTGAAATCCATCTCGGACAAACCCACCCCCCACAAACCCCCACCCCCACTAAACTTCACAATTTTTGGACGACGGTCTCGATTTTGGACTCAATGCCTTCTCTGAACTCCCCTGATCTAGAAAATGCTATCACCCATACCGTGCACCCCATAGGCACCCCTTGGGTGGGTGGAACAGCTCTCAAATTTTTAACCCCCTTCATAAGGGAGCACTTCCACACATCGGAGGACGATGAAATTAACCATGTTTGTTCTCGATATGTTAAGGATGAATGCCGAGAAGGTCTCGTTTCGTAAACTGTCCCCAAACTGAAGGGAGGGGGAGGGCAGAGGTAGGGGTGGTCCACCCCAAGTGTTAGGGTTGGAACGTTGTCACGCTGCGTGGATTACATGTCCTACAGTCCAGGGCATCGGGCTGACACAGTTTTGATGCCTTTTTCCTGCGTGAATGGCAATAAATTACGAAAATGTCGTTTTTTGGGGAAAACCCACCCCCAACTTTAGGCCCATCTGCTGGGTGAACGAGCAACCCCACGCCAACGCCGTTCATGGTACCGTATGCGCGAATACTTTATTAATATATACCCAAAAATTTCAGATTCTTTGAGGATCTGTTAATAAAGCATTCGCGAATCCAAATCCACAAACGGCGTTGACGGGGGGTTACTCGTTCACCCTGCAGATGGGCCTGAGGTTGGAAGCAAGTTTCTAAACAAAAATCGACATTTTCGTATTTTATTCCTATTCACGCTAGAAAAAGACATCGAAACTGTGTCAGCCCGATGCCCTGGACTATTGGACATGTGATCCATGCCACGAAACAACGTTTCAACCCTTACACTTGGGGGTGGACCACCCCTCCCTCTGCCCCCCCCCCTTCAGCTCCGGGGGCAGTTTTCGAAATGGGACCTTTTCGGCATTCATCCTTAATGTATTGAAAACAAACATAGTGAATTTCATCGTCCTCCGATACGTGGAAGTGTTTTTTTACGAAGGGGGTTGAAAATTTGCAAGCTGTTCCACCCCTCCCCCCCAAAGGGCGCCTATGGGGAGCACGGTATGGGTGATGGCATTTCCTGGATCAGGGGAGTTCGGAGAATGCATTGAGTCCAAAATCGAGAACGTCGTCCAAAAATTGTGGATTTTAGAGGGGGTGGGGTGTTGTGGGGGTGGGTTTGTCCGAGAGGGATTTCAAGGGGTGCATTTTGTAGAGGGCATCAAGGAGAGTCGCCCCAAAGGTTTTTTTGAATTTGTCAACCCCTTCCGTCATCCCTGGCCTGTTTCAAAGAGGCGTTTTCTACACCTTCCTCTTTAGGAGGGTGAATTAACCCCTTCGCATCAACCTTCGCCCAGGTAACTTTACACACGCCCAGAGAACACTACAAAACTACTCCTCACGGAGTTTAATTCCAATCGTTTAAAAATTTGTCCGCTAAATTTTAATAGTTAGTGTATTAGGTGGACTGGAAAGTAATGTCGTTTTTGCAATTTTAAATACTTGTTTAAGGCATCTGGCCACCCTGAGCGCTCACCAGATGGGTACTATTCTTAAAAAAAAAAATTAATTAAGAAATTAATCAAGTAGTCGCAAAAATCCATTGCTATTCTTCAGATAATGTATCTAAAAGTAGTGTGTACAAATTTCAGGGCAATCGGACCGAACGTTTACTTTCTTATGGGATTATCTCGAAACTACATTTTTCGAAATGGTACAATGTAAATCTCGTTAACTATCAGCCCGATTGCTCTGAAATTTGTACACACTACTTTTAGTATGTGTCAAAACATAAAAATATTTTTTTCTATACATTCGCATTTATGAATTTTTTAAGAATAGTACCCATCTAGCGAGCGCTCAGGCTGGTTAGACGCCTTAAAGTACTCATCAGCTCGTTGATTTTTATCGATCTGGCATTGAAAATTTGAACACTAGATGGCAAAAGGCTGTTGATAACGAGGGCGATTACGTAATTGATTGAAAATAGAAATTTATTAAAAATTTGTTTGAATTTAATGTAGAAGAAACGATATTACTTTCCAGTCTACCTAATATAATATACATGAATATTCTTCTCACATTTTGTTATAGCTTTCCGCAATCGCGTCGTTTAGGTACTGTCCCATACAGCAGATGAAGAGTAGATGAATAACTTGAGCAAACAGGAACACACAGAACGTCACGTATTGAAGAGTCATTTCGAACTGTGATATCTGTTCTTGGGGAATTAAATCAATAGTTAAATCACAGTTATTCCGATGGAACGTGACAAAGTAAATTGAATTCCTTCAACTGAATCTGAACTTGCCTTGAATAACGTGACCGTGAAAGTTAATGTGACAATTGCTACGATCGCGATGAACATTATAACGTGGCAAGCTGCTACTGTCTCTATATATCTGTTCCAATGTTATAATAATTATAATAATTATATTATATTATTTGATGAAATAGAATTATTTTATAATTCCAATTCATCAAATATTACCTTCCAGATACTTCTCTAGAAGCTTTTGTTATTATCTTTTGATAACTTTTGCGATTTCAGTGCAATGTACCAAATGATCTTTATCATTTCTACACAGAGTAAAAAAACAGTTGAGTGGGTTATGATCAAGGTTGACCTTTTACTCACTCGACTATTCTTTGATGGTCTGTGATGATTAGGCACACTTTGCTATAAGTTTTATTTGCTCCTAGATGTTTGTTTTCTTTATCGCAGGTACACACCTCAGACATTGTTTTTTGGAAGTTGTACCTGCAATTATTTTCATTTGTTACTACAACAGTTTTATTTAAGTGGGCAGGGTGGCCCTCACTCGTTACTGAATTCAAAAGCCTCTTACAAATACTCTTTTTCAATCGATTCATTGATTTCTTCACAACATTGCACGCAAGTTTGCAAAACTGTATTTTGAGAAAAATGAGGATAAAGTTACAACGTGGAGTAGAGCGCGTTGGACCTGTCTTGATATTTTAATTCAGTAGCAAAGACCACGGAATATTTTACATCCATACAAATTAAATTCTATATTTTCAAACATCTAGAGTATTCTACTCCCTTAATAGGAATATATTAACACTAAGTTTATGGAGTACGATCATTCTGACCCATTCCTATTTTCACAAGGTTTTACAGAAATCTTTGAAATTTTTCGCCAATCATTTATACTGACTTATTCATATAAAAAGACAAACATATATTCAATTCATTTGTCTAAGCCTCTTAATTAATTTTAGTAAATCGACTTCACTTATTTATTAACACTAAACGTACCAATCAGGCTCAAATGATCTCTTTCAAAATACTGTACAAGAATGAGGGGCGATAGAGCCTCCGTTGTTTGCAATACAGAAAATGAAACAAAATTCTAGTGAATCTGGCTGTGTTAAAATAATAATCGCATTCAAACAATATTTTCTATCTTTACTAACATTGATTTACTTAAAATCGAATAACTTGCTTGCCAATTTAGAGCTAGCTTGCAAGAAGCATGCTGTATAAACCACACCAGGAACATATCGCAGGTACTAAAAACTAAAAAAATTTCCAGCGAACCCATCATCTCGTTTATAATTATAAAGTAATAATATTTATCTTCATCCATGAAGAAGTATGCTGGATATACTAATATACGTCCTCTCGATTCGTTTAGTGGGATCAACACGTCCAGTACGTGTGGTACAGCCGGTTGAATGGAAAACATAAATGACGACGAAAATATACACACTGAAAAACCAACGGTTGTACTCAGAAATAATGTAAAGTACATGTATAATAGGTAGTGGTGGAAAATTCTAAAGTTATTCACGTATACAGAGTGTATACATCTATTCTAGAGATTTCCAAGAATATATAGAATGTCATTGTTTATAAAAAGTAAGTTAATAAATTACAATTTTACATAGTTTTTTTGGAAATTGATCGGTGTACGAATACTTTCTACATCCACTGTACATAATACTTATTGAATACATTGGATCAATAATAACAATTATTAGGTGCGCAAAAAAGTTGTAAATTTTAATTAACAAGATTCATTCTTTATTCAAAAATAAATTGAAAGATATAATTTGACGAAATATTCCCTGTTTGCATCGATGACCTTTTGCTATTTTTCGGGCAGATCTTGCTTGTTTTAAAGTGATAAAATCATTGATGCATTTCTATATACAATAGAACCTCTATTATCCAAACCTCCACTCTCTATTATCCCAACCCTTTGTTATATGGACTCTCATCATCCAATATATTTTTCTAAACATTTCAAACTTAGGTGATGCATATACAATAAAGCATTTAACATTTCAGAGTTTTTAGAATGGGGCTGACATTGTACTAGGCATAACAAAAATGTAGCTACACATATGGAATTAAATCGTTTAGCAAAATTTTGTGATTTAACAGCTAAATAAATCTGTAGACTGCAGAACCTTTATGCAAAATAAAATCTTTATCGTCATACCTAAAAAAAAATTGAGCCAAAATAGGCATTTATTTTACTATACAAATATTATAATATGAACTTCAGTTTCAATATTTTTTTATTTTATTGCATACTGTGTGGATTTTATAGTTTTTTGCACATTCAAATTCTTTAAAATGCATAAAAATACACAGTCTATAGATCTGGAACTCTTAAAACATTAATCAAATTACATTTAAGTTTAGTATTTGTGATTTTTATTATCAATATTTACACTCTGTTTCTTGAAATATATACGAGTCGTTTATTTTGAAAGTGGCATCAGTCACAATTACTACTTGTTGTAACTATATCTACCATACGAGGCCAAGTGCTGCCATCTACTTTCTTTTCTCTGTGCAATACGAATTAAATAAATTACTCTTTCCTTTGTCTCGTCAAAAGTAACACGTGCTTCATTATACTATTTAATGATATTTGTGTAACCATTAAATATCTCATTTTAAAAACAAAGTGACTTATGCCACTTTCGAGATAAGCGACTCATACATTGAAGATCAACATCAAGAGATTATAAAAAATATTCGTTTATCCGAACACTAATGTCACCTGATTAATTCGGATAATCGAGGTTCTACTGTATCTTCGATTGTCCTGAAGTGTTTAAGTAGAAAAAGCAATCGATTGTGGATCCAAGGATCATGAATTCGAATCTTCGTCCCTTATTTTTCGTACGACTTCTATTATACATTAATTCTGTCTAATTACCTGTGTATATCATTGATAGTAATGCTGCTCTGTTCGAATAACATTCTAAAATTGCCAACTCCTCTTTCGACCTTTGAACTTCCCAATCCTTCACAATAATATTCAACAGTTCTTTCACCTATGATTTGAAGGCAATTTAATAACATTGCATAAGTCATACAAAAATTTCGATCATTATCTGACCTTAGTTCCGTACAGAGTGTAGTTTACATGCTTTCCAACAACAATGAGAGCCAGACACAGATACGGAATCTGTGCTATCAACCTATCGAAACTATAGTCTCTGATCACATGGGCTACCTGCGATTCAAAGAAAAAGTCGGTAACTCTCAAATGAACATGTGATTAATTGTGATTGCAAATGGGGAGTCTAGTTGAATAATGGTTTTGTTTAAATTTCAATAGTGGCCTGTAAGTAATAACACTTAGGAACTTATTTATCATTTCACATACATATACAGGATACTTGTTCCACCTTAATGGTGCGCAGGAGCCAGAGCCAAACTCCGAGTTGACTTCAGCGACAGTTGCGGAAAAAGTAGGAAACTCCGGGACAAGGACAGGGCGATTAGGCTAGCATGATTTTTTTTTGGTGTGCATGATGCAGACAATTTTGGTTTCATCTCCGACACATATCTACAATTCATTTATGATAACGCGGATCATAATACAGCTACTATAGTCGGTAAAAATACCTTTCAATGGATGGGGGTCTAATGTGTGTAACGCCATCATCCTGTATCATTCAAGGATGCTCTCCCTCGATTAAAACAGAGCAATGCCGGCAAATACTAGCGGGAAATTTGGTTTTTCTCCGCTCACTGATTTCAAAAATAATAAGCCATTTAAATTGGATACCGTAATTGTATATAATTGGAAAGAAACGGACGGTTAATTTTACAACTCAAATTGAAGCGATAGACATATTATATTTTTACCGCAATTAAAACATTTTATCGAAAAACTAGAATATACGTTTCATAGTACACGACGCCAACTCTTCAAATCTTTTTTAAAAATAAAAATCGCTCTTACGATTGTTACGAGTAATAAAATTCATAAATTTTTGCAAATGTGACCATCGCGAAAACCCGTCCGGCAGCAAAGTGTAAGGGGTTTCATCGATTTTCGCCGAACATACGTGAAATAATAGTACTCATTTGCGATAAAAGTGGTAAAGAATAAACCAAGGTAAAATTTTTTCTTAAGGGACTAAGTGGCAGTGATCCTCTATCAGATACAAGAAGTTTCAATCCGATTGGTCCGCCTGTTTCGGAGTAATGAGCGATACAAATTTTTTCGGTCTTTTGCACAAAAAAAAAATCGGTGAACAGACATAAAACAGAAAAAAGAATACATATTGAGTCACCTCCTCCTTTTCCGAAGTTGGTTAAAAAATGAGAAAAATGTTCGATCACACTGTAAAACAAGAAATATATTCGTACGATATCGTACCTGTACAACGAAACTTCCGATCCCAATAGTGTACGTGACAATCGACGTGAGAGTTTTCGAGATTTTACTTTGACCAGGCCATAGTCCGGACAATACTCCAACGAGCTTGTTAATACGGAGATATCGTTGTTCAAAGGTGCGCCTATCCATGCTAGTGCAAGATTTCGATCGCGGTGTCATACTGATCCGTTAAACGAACAGCGTGGATAAAGAGTCGTTGATTTCCCATCAATTTTTATTCCCTCCAACTAGCCATATGACAGAGTGCTTTGTAAATTATTATGAACTTGTTATACGGATAACTTACATAAGCTATATCGATGCAACCACTCTAAAGCTGTAAATATAGCTGTGCATTATTCATTCATACGCTCGAGCGATTGTACATTACTTCGTACCGTCTTCCTCGCGTAAATATCACCTTGAAACGTTTCCTCGCATCGCTTCCATTAGTGCAATGTCATTTTAATGTAATATTTCCTGTGAAATGTCCGCGTTTCGCTTCGCGCGAATTCTCCCCTAGTAGCATTTATGGTTGGCCAACGGTTTCCAATAGTTGGGAATCAGTTGGGATATACACTGACGGACAAAATTAAAGGGACAGTTTTTTAAAACGTCATATCTATGGGAGTTTTCAACCGATTTTGGAGAAACTTCGTGAGGAGTAGTTTTGAAGTGTCTTCTAAATGTGCGCAAAGTTGCATTGGCGAGGGTTGACAGGAAGGGGTTAAGTCACCCCCATAAAGAGGGGCACGTCGAAAATCGCCACTTCTGAAGAGGCCAGGGGTGACGGAAGGGGTTGAAGAAATCAAAAAACCTTTGGGGCGACCCTCCTCGATGCCCTTAAAAAAAAACACCCCTCAAAATCCCTCTCGGGCAAACCCACCCCTCGCAACACCCCACCCCCTCCAAAATCCACAATTTTTGGACTTCAGTCCCAAATTTGGGCTCAATGCATTCCCTGGAATCTCCTGATCCAGGAAATACCAACGCCCACACCGTGCGCCCCATAGGCACCCCTTGGAAGGATGGAACAGTTCGCCACTTTTCAACACCCTTCGTAAGGGAGCACTTCCACACCTCAAAGGGCGATGAAATTCACCATATTTATTCTCGGTACGTTAATGATCAATGTCATTTAAAGCTCATTTCGAAAACTGCCCCTGGAGCTGAACAGGGTGGCTCAGAGTTAGGGGTGGTCCACCTACAGGTGTAGGGGTTGGAACGATGTTTCGTTGCGTGGAACACATGTGATACGGTCCAAGGCATTGGAGTGACACAGTTTTGATGTCTTTTCCCCGCGTGGATAGCATTAAAATACGAAAATGACGTTTTTTTTTTTTTTTGGAAAACCCACCCGCGAGTTTAGGCCTGTGTACCAGGTGAATGAGTAACCCCACGTCAACGCCGTTCGTGGAATCGGACGCGCGAATTCATTATTAACAGGTCCCCGAAAATTCGGATATTTTGAATCACGCATTCATTGTCAAATCGGAGTAGATTTGAAAGAGTATTAAGTGGTCCGGACGGAACCGGCATGCAGAAATGGAGCGAGGGCCTGCAACCGTACGTGGTCAGCCCACGTTAAATTGGAATCCGGTCTGATCTGACCACGTACGGCTGCAGTCTGTCCCTTTAATTTTGTCCGTCAGTGTAGTTAGTGCTTTTGCCTCCAAATAAGGGCCTACGTTAAAAAGGATTATGACAATTTTCCTACAAATACCCAATGTCGGGCTAACAATTACTATAATTGGTTAATTAACAAGAATAGTTGGTTAATTAATCTAACAACGACGGTTATAAAACAAAAAACTGATCGACGAAGGCGACGATAGGAAGCGACGAAGCATTAACGCAGTTGAACGCGTGCAGTTATAATAATTAGACGCGCTTCGTATATGTAATATTTTTTCTATTTTAATTTAACATTATGCACAAAATAATTGAATTTGAAGCAACTCGAGATGGTGACAGTGTTGGTGTTGTACGATTGGAGTGGCTTACGTCTTTAAAAAAAGAATGTATGTGGTCTCCATATAAATTAATGATAAAATTTAATAAAGCATTACAAGAAGGGATAATGCCCGATGAAAATTGTATATTGGTAGAACTACATGGAAATACACATTTAACTTAAATCTACGAACCGATATTGGCTTTAACAGAATGGATTATGAATACCACCAGTTATCAAAAAGTTTACTTTCCGAGCTAGATCTAGGATTAGTAACCCAAATTCCTCTGGATTACATGCACTTAGTTTGTTTAGGTCCTATGAAAAAAATCATTTGGCTTTGGGTGGATAATGGACCAAAGAAATGTAAGCTAAATGCCTTTAATATAAGTAGGATATCAAAAAGATTATTAAAAATCAAAAAGAACCACTATCCAATAGAATTTTATCGGCGTCCACGACCATTAAATATGTTTAAATATTGGAAGGCTACAGAATTCCGATCTTTTCTTTTATATTTAGGACCTGTAGTTTTGAAAAATGTTTTATCAAATGATTTATATAAACACTTTGTAGTACTACATTGTCCAATTTATATATTATGTTCTGATTTTGGACAGAATTCTATGTGGCGAACATAAGCCACATATTTATTGCATTGCTTTGTTCGTAACATCTCGACTTTTTATTCCAAAGAACTTATTGTATATAACTTTCATAATCTTCTGCATTTTCTTTTGAAAATTTTATGACTAGAATTAAGCAAATGGTTCGATCGCACAATCTTCCTTTAGAGCAACTTGCTAGGAGATTAAGGGAAAGAAAATTTTGTTATACCGATACAGATAAGCTACATAAACCAATTATTATAAAGAAGAAAGACGATGTAATATAATCTATACCTTCGATAGGCAATTGCATTCTAAGCGCATCTTTGGCTGATTCATGTTTTAGTACTGTAAGTGTGGATTATGTGATTATTACATTTATTAAAGAGGTTTCTGGTTCTTCTATTCATAAATTGCATTGTGATCGTTCTTAAGAGTGTACTTCTCTGTACTGTACTTCTCTGTATTATTTTTTATCACTACTAATGGGATATAAAAAGAAACAATTAATAAAATATATTCGCTAATGCAACCTAAACATATCGAAACGTAAATGATATAATTAATATTGATAGATTTGCACCTTTTATTAAATACTTATTTCTATTAAGGAAGTGTCCACATACTTCTGAGCGGAGGTGTATATTAAATTAGAGGAAAAATGTTCGAAAAACCTTGTATACATGAATAGTGTGGATGGTTTTTATAAATTATTATTGACAAGGGAATTTTCGTATACTAAATACTTTTAATTACCTGAGAAAGAATTTTTATTTATGGAATTTTGAGAAATAACGAACAAACAAGGGTATAGATTTTTCGATCCGACTTCTTTTTTAAAACATACTTGCACGGATGTAACATGTGCTCCTTCAGAATTCGGTTCACCGTCGTTCGACTGATACTAGAATAAAAAAAAAAAAACATTTACTATTACATAACATTCCTTTTTTTAATTAATCATTGCTGAAATTATCTTGTACTATGGCTTACTTTAAGTGGCGGCTCAGATCGCGCACATTGACGGTAGCATCTTCCTGTACGGCCTCCAGGACGTGAGCGTTGGTAGAGACTCTTCTAGCTGATCTTGGGCGACCCATTTCGCTGCCTTGCGCCATCACAGACCCAGTCGTATAAAATCTATAGACCACCCTGCGCAAGGTATTGTGACTTGGAATTCGTTGGCCCGGATATCTCCGCTTGAAGTCTTCAATGGCAAGTCTTGCGTCTCCATTATTTTGGGCATACATCCAGAACATTCTGAAGTAGTCTGGAGGCGAAAACATTCTTCTTTGAGTGTTTCTGACTGACTGACAAGATTTTTACTGACGTGATTCTGTCTGACACCGGATCACACGCGTCGCAATCATTAATGATACGCGACTTCTCGTTTTTTTAGAGCATGTTCTGCCGGAACTCATGGAGGATATTCCATATGAAATCCGGCAGAACATGTTCTATCAGCATGACGGGGCTCCAGCTCATTATGCGGCAAACGTCCGCGCCTACTTAAACTAGGCTTTTCCGGGCAGGTCGATCGGCCGCGGCTGTGCTGTTCCGTAGCCCCTACGATCACCTGATATGAATCCGCTAGATTTCTTCTTTTGGGGATTTCTGAAGGTAATTAGACTGTTGCTCTTATTGTTTACTTATGTTTGTAATAGGTATTGTATTCTTACTTACATTTTGTGCTTGTTTTGCTACAATCATTTCAGAATGAGGTGTATCTTCAACCGGTGGAGTCGGGGGAAGAAGCGCTAGCGCGTATTCATGGCGCATTAGCTTTGATTACGCCGGCAATGTTACAGCGCGTACAAAATAATATCATTGTATGTCCCGACAATTGACACCCAATCGGCGATCAAGGTAAATAACCACAGCGAAATCACGGGTCATCTTTTAAGCGATTACGTCAATCGACCGTCCTGACTATCTGCATACCGCGCTTTGGGTGTACGGAGAGTGCCCGTGCCCAAGTGTACAGTAACGCGATTCTGTCGCCGCGTACACTGCACTTCCCCCACACAGGACGTCGCGCGGCCGCCGACTATAGTCGGCATCCGTAACGAAAGGGTTAATAAGTAGTTAGCAATAATCAATCATAGTCATAAGCCGTGTATATATATCGGTACGCCGGGTTCGGGAATTAGGCGGAGAATAAATGTTCGCTGAGTTGCTGTAATAAATATGTTTTATTCTTCAGCTTACGCTGGAGTCATATTTATTACATAACATATTTATTACAGCAACCCAGCGAACATTTATTCTCCGCCTAATTCCCGAACCCGGCGTACCGATTGAGCTCGGCACTTCCACCGAGTAACCGTCACAAATTAATGCCGTATCCATATGTTAACACCATCCATATATGGCCAACTGGGTGATTACATCGACCCTGGTATGCATTTTTGTGTGTTTTTTTCTTGTATTTAAGATTATATAAACGTTTCTAAACATTGTCTGAACAAGGAAATGGTCTTTTTTAGTTTTGATCTATTAATTTATCCTTAAAAGGTAATTTCTTGTCCGTAATTTGAACGTGTGGTGTAACATATGGATGGTGTAATACATGGATACGACGATTAATATAAAACTTAACATACCACCGGAACATCATGATCACTTCAAATCGCTTACACACGCACAAAATGTAGATGAGTAATAAATTGTTTTGTAATAAATTTATGTTTGTAATTTTGTACGTTATATAGTTAGAAAATGTTTTGAATCGCATAAATTATGTTTCCGAAGTGTTTAAAAGATATGTAAAATAAATTCAGTATTGTATTTTTTTCAATTTGCAGCATCTTAAATAATGTTGAATGGACTTGGGCACCTTCAAATTTTATAATGAATCTGGTTGTTAATTTTGAAAGTGGCCCAACTCCATTCTTGATAAGAAAACGCATATTATTCACTTAACAATTGCCACTATTTTAATAGAAACTATAAATTTAACACCCTTAGATACACTCAAGCAGTATGACTCATTAGTATCCTATACGTATATTTTTAAATTCATTGAAACCCAAACCCTTAAATATCTCGATTTGAAGATAAATGGAGTTAGGCCACTTTCAAAATAAACGGCTCATATAACCCTTGAATAAAAACACGTTCATTTAAGTTTTGAAACTTCACTTTATTTCTCGCCCTTTTTCCTTCCAACTGCTACTGCTCTGTTGGAGCGTGTATTCGCTCGCCAGACCTCTGGACAGTTGGCGAATCCACTTTTATTAAAATACTTACTCGGTTTTAGGGAGACCTTCTGTCTCCCAGCTGCCAAATTGCATCTAGTTTCTTACCTTTTGACACGCGCGTCTTGATACACTGGTCCTCCTGTCGAGCTGCTCCGGCAGGTTGATCTGTAACAAGACGTAACAAATTGTGGACAATATTGGACCGGTATGGAGAGCCACACATACAAGTAGGGTACTAGGTTATCTAGAGGCAAAGACCTACCAAAATTTAGAGAAATATAAAGGTATCATCGCAACAGCGGTGTTTACTTATATTACCATTTTGGCAAAGGAGACCAACATAACACCGGCATGGGTACAATGCCGCAAATATCAATTTGCTGCCCTAATTCCCGATACACAATTAGATGCTTACATATCCGACAACATATGCATTCAATTTGCTAAAATGTATAGACCCATCGACTTAAATTGGATTCATATCTATGGTCAATTAGCTATATTATGGAGTCTTCCAGATAGCAGAAGCTATATCCCTGACATGGATAGTCGAGCAGTCTGCCAACAATAATGTAACTAGTATTGCTATCATTGCAGATGTAGTCACAAAAATGACCACATTTGATATAGAGCTACTTATTAATAAGGGGGTACCTTTGACAAACTTTTCTGATACTCTCACCCAAGCTATGCACCTGCTTCAAAATCCTTTCTGCACTCTAGTTAAACCACAAATTCAGGTAAGGCAGTATGCCGATTTAGCCTTTATATGCACTTACATAAAAAAAGAGCTAATCAGGGACCAAGCATTTGCAGGATATCACGGTCAATCGGCTTTGATGGGTTCTCTGGGCGAAGCACAACTTAAGAACCTGGCCAACAAAATTTAGTCATTTGCCCAAGAGTATTCTAATTTGCACTCAGATGTACCAGAGCTCTATCGTTTACGTATAGCTCCAGAAGGGACCAACATCGTTGAGATAGAAGGAGAACATTTTAATGTCCCAGCCATTGCAGCCAATCCAAATGATGAGAACAGACAATTGACAGGCCGGAATATTATCCTCAGGAGGGGGCCATCTGAAGCCACTAACTCTTATAGTGGTTGGTGATGCATTCACTGGTGAAAACCCGCAGGCCCTCGACATGTTTATAGAATGGATTGCACGAGCTGCGGTGGCCGAAGTAATTGCAAATAATTGGGCGAGAATTCAAGGATTGAGAGATGAAGCAAAAATTATGACAAGATGGTTCGGGGAACTGGTTGGGAATGGAGCCGCACGAGATAAGAACACGTTCGATGATGTAGTACAAGCACGGACAGAGCTAGTGAGCATAATGAAGGATAATACCCTCAGCGCAATGAATTGAATACCATAATAGCACGGATCTTGAATGCTAGTAGCGAAGCTGTAGACAGACCCATGTCCTCAGAAGAATCAAGAAATGTGGCTGTCACCAATGAAAGAATATCGTATCAAACGTACGTCTTTACTTATTCAAGGGTCACATGATTTTGCAAGATCTGTTTGTGCATCCAGCTGCCCAGAACGCCTGGTATGAGTTATCTCAGTTGAACATCGATATGGTAGACTTGCAAGAAATTAATTTTGAAATTGTGGACAATATTGGACCTGTATGGAGAGCCACACATACAAGTGGGGTACTAGATTTACTTGCTATACAGTTAAGTCGGCTACTCAGTGGATTTTGTCAAGCACGTGCGTCTTGCTACTGGTCAGAGTGTAGGAGGGTGTCAGAGTGGAGAGGGCGCCCTTGGGAGACGCGTAGATCGAGCATAAACGTGTTATAACTTGTTGCATTCTATCGATGCGTCTAGTGTCTATTACGCGTAACATCCTTGTGCTGCAAAAACTCACTCCAAGAGTTATATTTCCAATTGTTTGTTATATTTTTCTTTGCAAAAAGTTGAGTAGAACATTTTTCGTATTCAAAATCGTAAGTGTTCGACAAAAATTTTTATGTAAATTGAAGTAATTCGAAAAATATCATCTAGTTATTGAAATGTGAATAAAACTATATATTTCATGTTTCATTCGTAGAGAAATGGGTCGAAAAGCAGAGCTGTGTGTAGAGACACGAGCAGTTATTGTGGCACTACATGAAGAAAGTTATTCAACGCGAAAAATTGCTTCTAAACGTAATGTTTCTAAAAATACAGTCATGAGAGCGTTACAAAGAAAGAGCGAAACAGGGAGGCCTTATCGTTCTGGGAGGCCTAAAACTATGTCAAAACAAGAGGACAAGTTCATCTGTGTTGTAAGTAAGAAAAATCGTTCTCTCACAGCCCCCGAAATTCCCGAACAACTCAACTCTGCGCGCGAAACACCAGTATGTGTTTAAACGGTACAGCGACGTCTACGAAATTATGGCTTGAAAGAATGTGTCCCCGCTAAAAAACCATTACTACGCAAATAAAACAAAGTTAAAAGATTGAATTGAGCTAAAAAAACATAAAGATTGGACAACTGAACAACGGTCTAAAGTCTTGTTCACGGACGAATCAAAATTTGAAATTTTCAACAAACGACGCCGACAATATGTTCGTCGTTTGGTTGACGAACGCATGATTAACCAATGTGTGATCCCCACAGTCAAGCATGGTGGAGGGTCAGTGTTCGTCTGGGGATGCTTTGCTGGGGACATTGTTGGTGACATTGTGAACATTGAGGGTATCATGGACAAAAAAGTCGACCACAACATTCTTCAATGGCATGCTTTTCCGCGAGGGAAAAGAATTGTGGGTCACGGATTCGTTTTTCAACAAGATAATGATCCTAAGCACACTTCTAAATTTTTCCGGGATTACATCGCAACCAAAGAGAAACAGAAAGAACTCAAATACATGGAATGGCCTCCTCAGTCGCCGGATTGTAACCCGATCGAGTTGCTATGGGACGAATTGAACAGACAAGTGAAAAAATTGCAACCAACTAATATAAAACAGCTTTGGACGTTCCTACAGAATTGCTGGAATCAAATAACGGCGGAATCATTGCATAAATTAATTGAAAGGATGCCCAGAATGTGCGCTGCTGTTATGCGAGCAAAAGGCGGATATTTCGAAGAATCAAAGTATAAATAAATACTTGCGAGTTTTTTTGTCAGTTGACATATTTTGTATAAATAATGATTACTTTTTCATAAATATTGATAATAAAAAATAATAAACGAAGAAAACCATGGTTTTTTGAACATTACATTAACATTGTGAAGTGGACCCAAACTTTTGACCGGTAGTGTATAAAGGTATCATCGCAGTAGCGGTGTTTACTTATATTACCATGTTGGCACAAGAAACCAATTCCAGACGGCGTGATGTGGAATATAACATCTGTCGTTTTATTTTGATGATAAATACATTTTTTTAAAAAGAGAACATGTTAAAAAGACGCCAGACTCCGCGGAATACCGGGAGAGATTTCGTCCGAAAGACGGACATTAAGGTAGGTAAAGTTACCTGCACTCCCGGTCCTCCAAACATAACACCTTGTCCATGGAACCAAGTGGTTATCCAAAAGGTTGTGAAGGTTGGAGTGACAAACAAGACAGGACTTATCGATTGTACCGACATTTACCATTGGTTAGGCACTCGGAACGATAAAGCCGACGTTTAACTTACGTATTAAGCTAGTCCGAGCATGTAACATGAGCGGCCGGACAGTCGGGATTCAGCCATACGACTATACGTCGGAGGGCACTTCAAAGACCACGGATATGGATGAACTTGGTGGGTGGATTGACTCAGGCACATCAACCAACCTACCATCGGTTGGGTATAAGTGGCCTATTACCGACTCGCAACATGTTGTGACGGTACAGATATCCAAGGCAACTACCGGCGACGACACTACCGAAGGGAATAGAAAAGTGTGTGTACTACTGGGCAACAGCAGCGACTCGTTGGTATGGGATTAACGGTGGGAGATACAACGGACGATTTTATGCAAAGGAAAAATACTATATTTAATAAACTATTGGTGTTACAACTCAAGGTTCGGCGCGCTAAACTCGACTGACTCTCTCGGGTCTGGGCTCCGTGTCCTTTTTGTCTTTCCTTCTCGCACGCGATCGCCACACACTCACTTCGCGCGCGTCGCAACAAATGCCGGTGAATCAGTCACCACACTGGTATTTCAAGCCCACATAGATTGGCGATACCCGCCAAAGCATAGCAGTGGGTATGAGCTTGATTCCATTTATGCCCTCACTGCTGATTTAGCTAAGCGAACCCGTGAAATAATGGGCGCTAGCCTCAGGGCCGAAAGGCACCTGCATTCAATAAAAGAACAGATGCCGGGTACTATCCTTGGAGCTGCCAAAGTTTTCGTAGTAGATCCAGTACTCAAAGAATCTGAGGTGGAAGAAGCTGAATTCGTAAGGGTTAACGAATCAGACTGCGACAGCATAAGTGTTATTGGAACTCCAAAACACGATAACAGTATCAGCAATATTGTTTATGATCAAAAAGATACGTTATCGGAAATCCTCCGTCTACTAAAGGTACAGACGGGTAAAACAGTATCCTCCAATAATGGAGTGTAGAATTACCGAAATGTTAGAGGTCCAGATGGTCCATTGTGACATCGGGACTCTGTCCGGTGTGTTTACCGCAACGCTCGTTACTAGTGCGCTGTTGGTTTCGTTTATACTTTTTCACTTTGTACTTATAGTGTACATTGTTGTAGCCGATCGAAGAAGGTATCGCACACCGCACACGCGCTAACAACCAGGTATACAGTGATACAATATGTATACTTAAAGACGTCGTGTTAGATGGTCAGGTTGACCACGATGCACGATAGTTTCCTCGGAATACCGGAAATATTCCCAGATGAGCGTTGGGTACATCTCGACGCTGTGTCAAATCGCGTATTCATAGGGCAATTGGTTGCTGCTGATGATCTGCCCGACCGAATTTATGAGCGCGGTCATAGTGTGGACAATGGTTCAATATGAACAGTTTGAACGACGCTAAGCGATCTCTTGATGTGGCTGTTCAGGTGCTGCTGGCTATTGCGGCGTGTCCCACACGTGAAATGGGGAAAAATGGTGTGTATATCCGCACCAAGTTTGAGAAATTCACCGGTATGTATGAATTCACGTATTTTGACCGCTGCCGGTTATCGAGTCCCGCCGAGAAGGTCGAGGTCATCGCGACCGCAGCAAGACTGTTCGAACATCGTTTCCAAAGTCGCTTTTGTTCGAATTGCGACGGAATTTGGGCTATCGCGATCGAAGCGAGCACGTGTTGACTAAAACGTAATTCTCGTGATGGTTACCGTTCGTCCCGGTAACCCTCGATAGTACGGCAGCTCGGCAGCATATACCGAATTTTGTAGAACATCTAAGCTAAGTTTATGTCTGAGCGATAGTGGTCCTGAAGATGTGCTACGGTTTGTCGTTCAAAGAATTGATCTTTGAGAAAGTATTTGCTGCAGAGAAGGGATAATACACTAGCCGTAAAAAAAAAACGGGACACTATTTTAAAACGTCATAACTCCGAGAGTTTTCAACCGATCTTCGGGAAACTTCGTAAGGTTTAGTTTTGATGTGTTCTCAGGGTGTGTGGAAAGTTGCATTGACGAGGGTTGATGACAAAGGGTTAATTCACCCCCCCCCCCAAAGGGGTAATGCAGAAAAACGAC